TGTATATTCTTTAAAAAAACGCATGGCCCCAAAAACAGATAAGGGCCATAATTTTTATATACAACATTTGGACAATTGTTGTAACCTATGGATCCTAAAACTTAAAAGCAGGAATAAAAAATAAATAAATAGCCGGCACTGTCATGTCGTTCAATTCACAAAGTTTAAACTGATAGAATCTAGATGACACACTACCATTTAACTTTCTATTTTTCAAAATACTATTATCAGCAAAGCTTGTTTTAGTGAATAGAAAAACTATAAAGAGATGAAAACTACTTAAATAACTTTCCGGAGATGCAACAACGAGGAAGTGCTGATTTAGTTGAAGGTCAACCTTGCTATGGCATTCGACAGTAAGGACTGCCTGATCAGCCACAGTCTACTTCTATATGACACATCTTGCGTAATGGAAGTCCCCCCATGATTGGCCACTGTAACAATAGCACTGGAAGCATTTAGACCAAAGGTGGTGGCATTTACAATTGGGTTGTGAGGGTGGGTGGACAGCTTTATTTTGAGGTGGAATTTAAGACCAAAGAAATTTGCAGTGAGCAGACAAATACATTTTCAAGAAATCATGTGGCCCCACCCAAACCCCCTCCACCCCATACTACAACCACCAAAACATAATATGGCCAATGACAGTCCTAAGATTTTATAAACCAGAAACGTCAGGGTAAATTTTCAACTAAACCAGTTGTCGGTTCAGTTTGATGGTAGACCCTCAACTGTTTCTGAAGTTTGAATGGTTTAGGTAGCAAAGTTATTCGACATTCGTCATTCTCCCTGACACTGCGCGCCAACAGGTGAGCCTTGCGATGTACGCGAAAACGACGAATGGTACGGTTCGTCGTTCTCCTTTACACTCGTGAACGTTTATGGGCGTAGGCGATGGTCAGTTGTGACGCATTATTGACAGTAATAACTGTGTACGGTTACTACAAATAAAAATAAGATGTATACAAACTAGCTATTATATGTATAAAGTTAGGTGTTTGTTATATCCCAACTGTACCTCAGTAAACGTCCTTCGTTTCCCTTCCTCGCTTGGTTAAATACTACACAGTCAGTGTACAAATCAGATGTGCACACATTTTCAACAGTTTGATTTAAAACTGTCTCATGTGGAACCAAAGTTTGGTCACCATGATATCTCTTTATTGTATTCTCTTCAGAAGCGAGTTGTACTTCTATTTTCGAGTTGTACTTCTATTTTCGCTAATTAAAAAATTTTCCCTGCACGATCAAAGGGATCAACAATGTTACAATGTCTATAATACGATCAGATCTATGCAAAGTCAAACTTTCCTGTAATAAATGTAACAATCTGACAAGACTGTATTACAAACGCTTTCGGGAGTGGTAATGCGACGCTTTGTATTTAATAAAGAATTCAGTTGATGGGAAAACATACCACAAAGTAGAGATCGACAAGGGCAATTTGAATTTGCAAGACATTATTATACTCGATAGTAACGTCCATCAAGTCATACAAAATCGTAAAACAAGACTAAGTGTCGCCACAATACGTCCACTTTTCAAGTTGGACAAAGAAATTTACTCTCATAACGCAGTGTTATTAATTGCTTGGTAATTCCATATTGTTGTCGACCAGTGACACGTGCTAGACAAATTGCGGCACTAAAACCATCTTTGGGATTTGGGACGTCAAATGACTGGACAGCAAACTAACATGACGTTAGTCTGTGAACATCTGGTGGACACTAATATGCAGTGCTAATAAATTTCTCCCTAAATACTTTTTTGACTCTCCAATCCCCACCCCTTTCCCCCTGTTCCCATCCGTTTTCCCCTCTCTCCCGCCTGCTCTTGTAAATTCACACCATCAGCATAGGCCTAATACGTGAAGACAGACAGAAAGACACACTAAGTGATATATTCTTATAAACCTGGTCGACGGTACTCCGGGGGAGGGGATGGTGGTGTATTGGTTTGCAAAAAACCTAGTATGTTTGTACTGACTCAACAGTGACCAATTGTCATTCATCGCCCATGCCGAATTTGCCCAACGGCAGAGACCAGGGGACAACGCCGAACGAGCAGTGATCCTTGACCGATTGACCATTCGTCGTTCTTCCTAAAACTGAGCTCTGGCTCGGAGCTCGCCAGTGTAAAGGAAAACGACGAACTCTGAATTACGCAACAACAGATTAGAATATGACCAAAAAAATTTACACCATCAGACGGAGAATTAAATACTCTATGAAATATATTTTAAAAATTTAATCGACGGCAGAAATGTCAAAAGCATGAAAAAGATTCTACTTAGAGACATTCCTGACACTTGACAAATAATAAAATTACTGAATAATGACAGCTATTCTGAATTTGTGAGGCAGCGTGGTGAAATCAGGCGCTCGTCAAAATAATCAAAGTGAAAAAACAAGCATTTTTCCCCACGTTTGTGAATTTTTATCGAATTTTTTTTTTCCAGCTCAACGCCTTTCATGGCCATTAAAAGAACACATTTCTTTTTGGAATTTACTGAAAAAAGTTGATTAAAGGAACAAAAATGTAAATGTTCAGTTTCCCCTGATTCTCAAGCTAAGGAAATGATTTATCTTTGGTGGCCATTTTCACAGTATTTTTACCTCTGAAACCAGGTGACCCACACCTCCTTCATTTGCAATATCTCGGCTTGTAATCAAGATAAATGGGTGTTCTTTTTCATCCAATGCAATACAAATGAACAAGCTCTAAAATTATACCAATATCTCTACATTCCCAAAAATTGACGTCAGCCTGATTACACCGCGTCGTGACACATATAGTTAACATTTGTTCATCAATAGAAAGTCAATTGCGTTTCTGTCCTTCTTCTAAAAAAATATTAGGCCTATTTGGATCAATATAAAATCTACTGTTTATAACAATTGGCTAGATGCATCTCTGCACTTTACACTGAAGACACACAAACGCTTTGGGGAGAAAAAAAAAAATCCCAATAAAATAGGAAGTACTTTTGAAATAGACTGTTCAGACTGTGAAAGGTGTGAATAATCAAGAAAGGCATATTAATACTCATGATCCAACAGAAACATGAAAACAATAAGTTGTAGAAGGTATCTTTGCAACTGTTGATGTCACAAGACAATATCTTATCATATAGAATTCCATGGACACAGATGACAATGTATTTATGTTACTCCAAAATCTTGACTTTGTTATATCTACCACAGAAGGTCAAACAATTAAAGGTATTGAAAGAAAATCATACTCTTCATACAATGACACATGAGCTCATGGCATGGAATAATAAAACTAAATAAATCAATGTCATCACATTTAGCAAAAGATATACGAACTTTGCATTTAAGATACTTGCGTACACAAAGTTAAAATTTGTATTGAAAATACATAAAACACATTTGTGAATACTGATGAAGTCCTGAGTAGAACAGGGTGACATCAAAAAGAAAGACGGAGAGAACACATAGGATACCACTTCTCTAATTTTGCATGAGGCATGTGTGGTTTCAAGTAGGATCCTAGTTGAACTGATGCTGGCTTATACAAATAGGAACTTTACATCCATATAAACGAACACAAAAGCCTCAGCACTATACTCTTCTAACCTTCATGCATAAATGTGAAATCGAGTGACTGAGGAGTGATTGAAAAGCATAGCATCTTTGACAGAGCTTTTTTTGTGACGCCATGCGTGAGTAACAAATAAAAAGTATGCTAGAATTTTAATATTTTGGCCTGCATTGTCAATGAACCCTTTGTTGAGGGTTGAATTCATGGTCCCACTAATATTACTATTCTTAAATTATCTTGTAACTTTCACTAAAAAAGTAGATAGGCCCTCTATGTGCCAGCATAAAAGAAGTTCACAAATTACTCTATGTGTGTATGTGTGCGTGTGTTGAGTGTGAGTAAGTATGCCATGTATTTCTGTATGGCCGTGTCATGTGTTCATGTGTGTGAAATCATGGGAGTGACACTAGAGTCGGAGAGTGTGAATTTTGGTGTTTGTGTGAATGTGTTTGTGTGAATGTGTGTGTGTTTGAGAGTTCTGGTGTAGGTATGTGTGAGCTCACAGAAAGAGAGCATACGTGAAAATGTCTACATAACCGAAACAAACACGAAGTATAGGATTGCCTCCAATGCAAGGTGGGGAAAAATGGTAACTTACAAACACACGCATAAGTGAGTCTTCTTTGTGAAATCAGGCACTCATCGAATTAATGAAATCAAAGAAACCAAAACATTTCCACCCGTGAGTCAATTTTTGATAGATTGAATTTTAAATTTATGCTCAATACCTTTTATATCTATTTAAACACACATTTTTGACTGGATTTTACTGAAAAAAGTTCATCAAAGGCACAAGTAAAAGGAAATTTGCAGTTTCAAGGGACACTCAAGCTCTGAAAAATTACCAAACTTAAGAGGCCATTTCTCATTATTTCTACCTCCAGCACAGAGCAATCCCAACCTCTTTCAATAACAAATAACTTGATTTCTGTTCTAGATAGATGGGTATTTTTTTCATCAAAAGCAAGGCAAATGAACAGTCTTTAAGATTAAATCATAACTTCGAAAGCCCAAAAACTGACGAGCACCTGATTCCACCTTTTTGTGACACATAATACCATTTGGTATATTGTGACACATAATACCATTTGGTATATTTATATGAAAGCATCAACAACTTTTAACAAAATCAAAAAAATGGAAGCAGTCAAGATTAAGTAATCTTTTCTCTGTATTGATACTCTGTATTTGGAAAATTGCGTGGCATTCCCACATAGCGGCCCCCGCCGATACCGCCACGATAAGGCGGCCAATGTTACTTCTGAGACTTACGTACGCTCCGACTCACCCCCCTTGGGATCCGGTTGGCCTTCCTCTAGAAAATTTTTTAACTACAGGGGGGGGGGGGGGGCAGAAAGACTGGAAACAAACCATTCCCAATTCGACACAATGACTTGTCCACCACAAAAAAAAACAAAAAAACTTTCAAATTTACAAAAAAATCTGAATCTACGTGCCAACCAAGGCTTTATTAAGTCTGGTTCAACAAACACCTTGAAATAATTGAGCTTCAAAGAATAGACCAAAAAATGGCACAATTTTTCCTCAGAACATGAATGAACCTTGTATTCATAAAATTTTTAGTTAAGTGAATGAATCTGCTTTGTCAATGATTAACCCAACAAATAAAGCATACTATTCAATGAGAAATTTCCTATCCAGATTTCCGTCTCTAAACATGAATATAATATCAAGAACTTCAAGGTTTCAACAAAACACAATGCTAAAAATATTTTGAACCTTTTAAAAACGTATTTTTATTATATTTTTATTCTACAGGGAATGTTGCATTGCTGATAGGATGACCACCCACCATCTTGATCTCCAAGACAGTTTTTGAACTGCTGCCTGCTTTATGGAAGACAAAAGGAAAAACTTTGTGCAGTTTGTCACATTTCACCATTTTCTGCATGTCTGAGTCAACTTCAACGTTGATTTTATGGCTATAGGCAGGAGTCGAACACTCAGAGTGGAAATCTCCAAATTCTGCAGTGAGAAGCGCTCCGATCCTTCGAGGTACTGGCACACTCCACAATTCAAATTTCCGCACCACCAGAGGGAAGACATCAGACTTTTTATTGCATAGAGAATATTTACCTCCCCAGGTCTGTGACCAGACAAACTCTTCATCCTCATTGAAGAAAAAAATGTCTATATTTGGCCACTTAAAAGGACGATTGCCTTTAGGTAAAGAACTTAAGAAGAACTTCCACTGCACCTTGGCAGGAGCAAATAACTCAAATCCTTCAATGTTGCTGAGCACATCTCGTACTTTCCTCCAATCCGAACCATTCATAGCTACGTCAAAATCGTCATCCCATGGAATCATACCATGATGGCGCATTACACCCATCATTGACCCTGATATCAAAAAGAAAGTGAGGTTTGCTGCTTTGCAAGCCTGAAAAGAGAGAGAAAAAATTCATTGTACTCACAGAGAACAAACTAACAGCACTAACGTGAAGTCATACATTCATTATTAACTATATCTCTGAGAAGCTTATTTATCATTCTAAATTAATTCCAATTTATATTCCTGATCAACACCATATTAGACTCACCAAAACCATGTTTGAACTACCTATGAAATAATATTATACATGGCAAGACTATTAGCTCTCATAGCTCACGATTCTCATCTTTTCATATGGATCAGAAACCTTGAAAATAGACAACCTGGATGCCAGAAAGTAACATCATGTCACATAGGGGTAAGAAAAATGTTTCCAATCAGAAAGAGAAATATGCAGTCAAAACTGTATCATACAGCCACGCAACGCATTGACAAGGAGAAAACTGGCCGTATAAGATAGGTGGCCTTTATACACAGGACTGATCAAAATGAAGAAAACAAACAATTTACTTCTGACATCCCAATTGGAGATGATCGCAGACTTAGAACAGCCGTAAGACAAGAATTTGGGGACAGGAAGGATTTTGTGGGATTTTTTATTGTTAATTTTATTTTTTAAATTATAGTTTTACGCAAGGTTAAAACAAAACGAAATGAGTTAGACGAAGAAGATGGAGTGCCATAGTAAAACAAACAAATGGTTCCCCACCACTCAGCAAACGAGCGACTCTTCTATCGCAAATTTGGGTTGACGTCCATTGTTACGGACTGGGTTTACACAACGAGAGATTTGTGTGGCTGTCTCAAACAGTTATTTGCTAGTTGACAAAATATGGGGCGAGGCCGCATTGGACAGGTGACCATTTTATACAGTGAAATTATATCGAAAAAATGCAAGGGAGGAAAAATAACGTCGCTGTTTGTACAGGTGGCAATATCAAATAGGTGGCCATCATTGCAGGCTCGACTGTACATAAGTTACATATTTTCATTATCATTATTACAAGTGCAATTCAGGAATGTCAAAGTGAAAAGCTGAACCCCTAAAATTGTCCTGAGCAAAGACTGGTCCAAATGCATCATATATAGGCAAAACATTCACATAGAACAAAATCAATTCTTCAGTCTGTTCACCAACAAGTGTGATAAATAAAACAAAAGTAATTAGGGGGGATTCTTGCTTTTGATTTTTTTTAAATATCCATCTACCTTGAATAGAAACTGATTTTTACATGAACAAGTAACTGGCAGAGTGTGTCAAGTTCACCAAATCCCCCTTACCCCAAAACTATAAATCAATAATTATACCCACCCTGATGAACACGTCCATTGTGAACAGTGCTGTGGCTCTCTCCTTTGGGTTCATGACTGGCTCAAACATCAGCAGGGTGTCCAACTCACGCTGGGCCGCGCTGCTGGAGCGTGCCCTCTGCTCCAGGTGGGAGACCTGCTGGTAAAACTCTTGGAAGGACGGCGCCCTTGGCAAATACTTGAGCTGTATTTCCGACTCATCTACTTGCAGTCTGATGGGGCTGTGGCCGAGCGGAGCATCTTCCACAGGGAAGTGCTGGAAGTCAAGGGCCACCTATGAGAAAGGAAAAAAAAGCAGGGGATGAGAGGCTGCATTTATGGACACTCATAGATGCTGCTGATGGGGACAGCTCGTTGCTACTATAGTTTTAGTAGAGTTTTTACGGCGCTCACAACTGCAAATAAGGTCATATGAGCACCAAAACCAAGTCAGTGGTTTCATGTTAGGGTCATCCTTGCCTGTGAGCTCAGAAGATGTTCCGTTGTGGGGAAGTTATTCTATCTCCGTGTTGCTACCTTATAGATTTAACAGACACTTTACACAGTAAGGTTATTTAAGAGGTGGGACCTCCAAATATAACGTTCACCTCTGATAGGACCATGCTAAATGAGGGCACAGCTTTAAAAAAAGACCAACACAACTCAAGTTCAAGAACACACAACTACGTATTCAAGCCAAGTCCATCCGCTCCATAGTCCAGTATGCTATTAAGTAAACTGACAGAGCACCCATTCTATACTGAATCTCCATAAAATGGCAAGGCCTACTCAGATGTACAATATCACAATAAACTAAGGTTGGGTCTGACAGGCAGGATTGAAGCAGCCCTCCTCTAAAAATATTATCGAAATTTGATTGATGCGGCATACAACATTTAATTTTGATCATTATTGTTGTTTTTATAGTCGCATTCGTCATTGGAATTATTAGAGGTGTTCCTTTCATTTTTATTAGTTAATAAAGCATCCATTGAGCCACAGTTCTGGACTGCATTCATTTCTCCAATGTTGTTGTAGTCTGACTGTGGGTAGGGAGGCAATCTCTGTACCACATGGGCAACAGACAAACATGGTAGGCTTACTGTGTCTATGCTGCCTATTCCTTCCTCTTCACACTGTATTTGGCGTGCTGGTTGCGCATACAAAATGTATTTTATGCATAATGTATTGGGGGGGGGTGTTTGTGTGTGTGT